ATGTAGTGCAATGTATCAACTATATCGTCCAAAGAACCCCTTAACAACAAGTTTTGTAATAACAAGTATTGCCTGGTAAGATCTTTGAAACTGAGGACTTAAAACATAATATAATCAATGATAGAGAAAATTCAGTTTAAAGCCAGGCAGTATGCTTGTATTTTATTCATAAAAACATTTTTTTTGCCTTTCAGCTTAAGGCAATTTTATTGTACCTGTTTATTTTCCTGCCTTTGCAAAGGAATTATTGCAACACTAGATTCTTGGATTTGTCTTTGGGATAAACAATTGAACTGAAGTGTGCTGGCTGTGGGAATTCTGGGAGTTGAAGTTCAACAAATTTTTGCTGAGGTTGAAAAACACTGCTCTATAGTAATAGCAGATTTATGTATACATCACTTTGGAAGTGAAAACAGATACTCCCTCCACTTGGTAGCAGTTATAGAAGGCAGCAGATTGCAACAGAGGAGCTTCTAAAACTGGAGTAATATTGAGGTATAATTCATTTCATTTCTAACCAGTCTTGGAGCAAATAGGAATCTATCCAGGGATGCTACGAATGATAGACAAACAGAATTTGGCCATCAAGATTAGAAAAGCCTAGAAACATAGGAACATATAGCAGTTTAATATATAACCTTGTATATGGCAGTAAGTTCAGTGGAGGGATTCCTATTTTTTTTATTACCGGTTCTGTGGGTGTGGCTTGGCTTGGTGGGCATGGCAGGGGAAGGATGCTGTAAAATCTCCGTTCCTATCCCACTCTAGGAGGTTACTGCAAAATCGCCATTCCCTTCCGATCAGCTGGGACTTGGGAGGCAGAGAATAGATGGGGGCGGGCCAGTCAGAAGTGGTATTTACCGAACTACTCAAAATTTCCACTACCGGTTCTCCGGAACTGCTGAATACCACCTCTGAGCAAGTTGCAATATCAAAATTAGGACGATAGTTATCTTTTGCTTAAATACATGCTTGTTTACTGTATCATTCCTCAATCTGATGCGGGGAGAGGGGCATGCTGGACTATACTATCTATTATCTCCAACGTGTGCCTTCTAGCAATAATAGTAGTTGGACCCGAATATTCCTATATTTCTTGTTTAAAAAACAGCGGGGCGTGGGAACACACAACATAATGGACTCTGAAGATTGCAGAGTTTTTATCATGGCTGGCCACTTAGTACAGGCTGAAGGCAGGACTACATACCTAGCTAGAAGGAGGCACAGGAGGTACAAAATTTCATGGTCAATAAATTGCTCATTCCTGTATATCTCAACATGATGTGTAGTGCTATAAATTGTACAATAGGTAACTAATTGCCTAAACCTATTGTTAATAAAAAAAATGTTGAGTGCATTGTTAGAACTCTTGATAATATAGTATTTCTATCATATGAAAATGTTATTGTAAATGTAAAATAATCACACATGTAACTATTTTATCCAGTTACTTTGGGATGCTTAGATTCATATAGATTCAGCTCAGTGTAGTAGTTAAAGCTTCAGGCTAGAAACCGGATACCATGAGTTCTAGTCCTGCCTTCAGCCTGAAGCCGGCTAAGTGATCTTGGGCCAATCACTTTCTCTCAGCCCTAAGTTGGAGGCAATGGCAAACCACTGTCAGAAAAGCTTACCAAAAAAATGGTAGGGACTTATCCAGGCAGTCGTCAGGACTCCTCCTGATCTGAATGCAATAAACAAGCATACCATACATGCAAGCCTCAAGAATGAGGATGGGAATAATTTCGGAATTCATGAAGAACTGCACATCACATTGAAAGCATGTGTTACAAACATTTTTATTAAATAATTTACAACTTTTATTTTGCACAATACATCCAGCTTGTGAGTTAGGGTACTGTTATACTATAAGAGTACATTTTTTTAAGCTGACACAAAATTTTAATATCTTAAAATCAATGTTCCCTCAGAAAACTATAACTATGAGAAGGAATGACCAAAACAAAAACCCCACCCTTCAAATGCCAAGATATTAGAAATTAGGAATTCTCTACCCTACTTCATCATCCTTTTCACACAGTCTTAGGACCAGCCTAAGAACACATGCACGCACGCACACACCTTCAGCCTCCCATGTGCTTGGCAAATCATGGTCAATGTTTTACCAGTTCAACATCAAGCTTCTTTTCATGCAAATACAAGCAGCTCCCTGACACTTCTCCACACAGTGCAATCCACTGCAATGTTACCTCTTACAAGCCTCGCTGAAATTAATCCAGAGTGAAGCAGGCCAAGATTCAGTTTCTCACAGCCCCTTTACTGATGTTTACATTTAGAGGAAAGTTTGTACCCTTGGACTAACATGTTAATTTCAGTAAGGCAGTACAGTCATTTGTGACATTTCAATTTTAGGGTGAAGAGAAAAAAAAGACTTCTATAACAATGTATTTTTTCCCTTTTAATGACCATGCACCTAATTTCTGCATAGCAAAAGATTAAGCCAGGAATTGGAGTCATTATACTCAAATCTGCTACAAGCTAGTTTCTAAAACAGACCTGGGTCACATGGGAAGGCCCTTGGTACTCCTAAGGGAGTGCTTCGGGGCTCATCCCTCTCTATAAGAAATAACGGGAAGAGGTCATCCCTTGATTTGCAATAAGGCAGCATTATTAGGGCAGATGATACCCAGCTACTGTATACATCTCCACACCGGACCAAATGGAAGAAGCAATGGAAGCCCTCGCCCAATTCCTGGAAACCTATTATACTGGTTGAATAGGGAGAAGCAAATTCAGGTTCAATTGAAGCAAAACAGAAGGGCTATTCATTCAGAAGGCCACGGATTCTGTGATTATTACACCTTTTACTCTTCTCCTGAAAAGAGGAGCCTGCAATCGGGGTGGGTGGGGTATCTTCTAGTACTCCTGGCTCCTATTGTGGCCAGGAAAACTCTGCCTAACTTAGGCTGGTGTGCTAATGGGGGTTCTCCTTACAATATGAAGACGGTTGATTCATGCCCTTGGTAACTCTTAAAATGGAATACAGATAGTCCTTACTCAGGGACTACTCATTCAGAGACTATTCTAAGTTATAACAGTGCTAAATGAGGTGATTTATGACCGGTCCTAGAAGTTGTGGCTATTGCAGCATCTCCATGGTCATGTGATCACAATGTGGTGATTGGCAACTGGTGTGCAAGTATGATAGGTGATCTCCATGATCACTGCTTCACCATCACGTGATATCGCGCCCAACCACCACAGTGATTTTCTTAATGACCACAACTGGAACGGTCGTGATAATCCATTGCGGTCATGTGATTTGTTGCTTTAGGTCTGTGTCCCTTAGCGATGGAGTTTCCAGTTTCAACTATAGTTGGTAACAAAGGAGCTGTATCGTAGTTTGCTTTTCATGGAGCATCCCCTATGCTTAGCTGGACAGTTGTTGCTGTCAAACAATGCTAATGTAGCAGCAGTTACACTGGCTTTCAGTAAATTTCAGAGTGCAGTTCAACTGCTGATTATCCCCTATTTGGACCTGGATATCTTCAAGACTACCTGTGGTGGACTTCAAAGAAGATGGTGGTCTGAAGATAGCTCCATGAATAGCAAAGATGACATTTGTGGCCATGAACAGGTAGATCAACTTCTTTGACCTTCTGGTCAAAGCGAGGACATGAGATAGTCCAAGCTCTTCTTAAAATTCCTCCTTGCACCCTCTTTCTGCAGGATGCGAGAATTGGGAGATGAGGGAATTGGCCACAGTTCTCCAGCCACAAACAAAGTCTTTTAAATGACACTGAATTCACACTTACCTTGCTAACCACTTTTGGATATTGTCTATTAACTGCTTTAAAGTGACAAGACTATATATAAACATCGGGTGAACGCCTTCCATCTTTAATACAAGAAAATGAAGATCTTTAAAATATTTAATCTTTAAAAAATTAAAATAAAGAGCGAAAAGCAGAGCAAGATTTTGGCTATAGAAAGTTTTAAGCAGAATAAGAGCTCAGAAAACATTGGAATATTGGGTTCTGAATATTAAGGTTTTGAAATTAATCTTTAAAGAATAAATGGATTTTTGTGGGAAAGAAAAAATGGTTTTGCTGTTGGAGATATAACAAGACAAGTAATTTATCATGATGTTCAGAGATCTTTGAGTACTTGGATCAGGACTTGCACAAGAACTTTGAATCAATTGTGTCACTTATATTGTATGGTTTTGGGAACAGCCTGTTTCTCGATAACAGAAAATGCAACAAAATCTACCCAAGAACATATGGATGAGAATTTGAATAAGAATTTGTCATCAGATTAAAAAGAAAAAAAAATGGGATGGTGCTTTAAAAATTAAGGACATAAATATGACAATCCCAAAAAGCAACTGGAACATTTTTTGGGGGGGATTTACAAACGAGGCTGTTTAAAAGAATGAAGAAATCTGTAACAAGGATTAGAACATAGAATAGCAGAGTTGGAAGGGATTTTGGAGGTCTTCTAGTCCAATCCCCTCTCAAGCAGGAGACCCTTATACCAAAAAGTACCGGTACCTGAATGGATTAAAGAGCAAGATTGTTTTCTATAAGAAGACACACTGAGTTGATGTATTTGACCAGGTTTAAAATGGCACATGGTACTATTTTGAACGACTCTTTCTAAATTTTTGGATTGATATCTGGATTGGAAAAATATTGTATATTAATTTGTTTGCATTTAATATGGTGTTTAAGCCCCCCCCCCTACAGTTACTTTATGTACCATGATTTGGCAGCATTTAAGGTGATTCTTATTTAGCTGTCTTTTTAAAAGAGTTTTATGAACTTGTTGTTTGTAATGTTTTATTTTAATCTTTTGTGTACATTAGGATGCTTTATGTTAGTTGAATATGGATTTTTTATAGTTAAGAGTTGGGGTATGAAATGTTTATCTGAATGAGATATGTTGCTATTTAGGGGATTCTCTTTGGAATTGACATTTGTAGTGGAAACATGTGTATTGGATGTGTTTATAGTTAATATGGTATTTAAGCTCCCCGTCAATCTAGAAGGGGCTTTTTTTTTTTAAAAAAAAGAGAGAAATGGTCACTCTTTTGTCATGTTAAACTTTAGTTTTTTTGTTTCTATTAGGATATTGTAATCACTTTATGCCTTTTAAATATTGCTTCTGGCTAGGATCAGAGATTCAGGATGCTAGTTTCATATGTATTAATTAGTTATTATTTTAGGACTGTTTGCATATTTTGCTGACACCTGGATTGGAGAAGATATTTCTTATTGGATTTGCCTATAGTTATGGAATGAAGAGTTTTATATTTATTAAGAGTAGATAAAGAGATTATGAAATAGTTTATACTTGCGATGAGGATGGAAAGTTGCTGTCTTAGGGTGGTTTTTCAAAACTTTTTTCCTCCTTTTTGCAATTTTTTCCTTTTTAATATTTTTTATTGTTGTAACTAAAATTTTCAATAAACATTAAGTTAAAAAGATTGCCTATCTTGTATAGATTATGGTATACTTTCAATCCTAAAAATATAGACATTGTCTGGTGAAGGTCCGTGCCTATTGAGAACTGTAACAGGTGGAGGCCTGAAAGGTGATTCCCTATTCTGGATCACCTTGTCTCCCAAGCATGAGAAGAAACCCATAAAAATAGGGTTGTTCTGGAAGACCTTTGGGACTTAAAGGGTGCAAAACCCAGGAATGTGGGTTTATTGTACTTTTTGAAGCATAATGATATATTGTATTTCTTTTATTGTATTTAATTGCTGTCCCTGAAGCAATTTATAAAATCCTAAATAATTTAGGATAATTTATTATTTATTTTATAAACTAAATAGTGTGCTTGAGATTCGCTGTACTAGCTTATGGTTTGGAATCACTGCAATCACTGCAATAGCTGAAGAGGCACAATCTGTTCTAACTTGATCTAAACCATTGCTTAACTTTAAACTATATTTCACAATCCACTTTACTGATGAACTGATATGTCATTTAGAAGTATTATATATCTTAGAGTAGGGTGACTAATAGTTGTGTAGCAGAAAATAGGGAGTGTCAAATCAATTTCAAATGACATTGCCTCTCTCTTTGCACTTCCAGGGGTTTAGCAAAACTTCCCTCCTTCTTTTTTAGTTTAACAATTGTCAACATACCTTTCTCCTTAGTTATTTATTACCCAAGCAGACATAAACAGTTTCCTTCCATAAGTTTTATCTCCAAGATTGTATCTTTTGAGCCAACCTTTCCAGTTTGTCAATCTGCTGTTTTAATTGCACTACTTAAATCTGAGAATGCAATTTGAATGAAATCTAACAAAATATCAAGTCCTTCTCAAATTGTGGAACATGTCTTCATCAGTGTAATTTTATAAGGCAAAATTATTTTTATCCCATTTCATCCGTAACTGATGTCTTTCAAACTCTCACTCTAAAACAAACTTCTGTATAATCCTATCCAGCATTTTGTACTTATTTGACACATCTACCTTTGCAAAAAAAATATTTTCATATTGTCTACCCATGACTCCACGGGGAGATCATTTTGAAGATTGGCCTCTTTCTAGTAAGTGGATACATACTAACTACCCCTTATTCTATTATATTAAGAGGCATATATCCCCATAAGGTGATGTTCAAAACGCAATAGAATTTTGGTTCCCCCACCTTGAAAACATTTCGTTTGTCATATAAAAAGCTTCTTCAGTTCTGAATGAGAAGCAAAACATTTCCGGGGGGGGGGGGACGACACAAAGTTCAGTTGCCTTTTGAACAGCATTTTTGGCACAACCGTGACATGGATGATTGAGAAACTCCACAGACATATCCCCACAATCATATTTCCACCCCCTATCCTTGCTGCCTCTGTTTCCCCCACAAACTGCACAATATAGTCCTCATGAAAAATGGTGATGATTCTAAGTATTGGACTTAGAGACCTTTTATAAATTGTAAAAAGCGCAATGCTCTTTATGATTTATTTAATATTTTTTCCCTTCACTATAAGCACAAATGCTAATGCCATAGGTGTTTCTGAATTACAGTGCTGCTCAGTTTTTGGAAGTGTAAAATGAATTCTGTATGATCTAAATAAATGAAGTGTACACTTGCAACCATTTGTAACTACAGTGATTCCAATAATTTAGCAGGCTAAAGGTACATGCCATCAGAATAGAATTGGTGTGGCGAAAAGATTCACTGACTACTTCTGTCTTCCATATAGATTACTTCTAGAGCCAAGACAAAGAAATTCCCAGGATTGGCAAGATGCAATTGTGAGTCTTGATTAAATCAGATCTGTATAATAACCTAAAGGCCAAACCAGATGTGTCATTAAATGTGTTAATGAATTTATACATGGGGCTTTTTCTATTGTAAATAGCTGCAGCCGTGCCTGATAGTAATATTGGCTTAGTGAGTAATCCCTATTAAATTTAATGAACCATTTATTTTCAATGCAAACAGTAGCCTCTTGGAAAAGAAAGGATGGAGTCCTTACAATATTACAGTACTGCTTACTGTAATATTGCAAAAGATGTCTACCACTGCATTGAGAACATTCTTCTGAGTTGCAACCACAGAGTATATAGAAAAGTAACATTTTGAGTTCAGCTACTGCTACTATAATTAAACTATTATGTCTAAATACTTTATTTATAAAACATTTCTGCCAGATAAAAAGCTTCTGAAGAACAGCCTTTTTATCAGTTCCATTAAATGTAAGATAATACATTTAATGCTGCACCAAGGTAACAACTTGCTACATAGCTGTCTGCAGAGGATAGAGTGGATCTGGATATTGGGGATGTAAGAAAATATATGACATCATGCTAACAATGCAACTTGTATTGTGTCAGACAGCATGGCACAATTATATAATTGTTGTTTTGATGTCATCATGGTCTGTTACCGACACCTGTGGCTCCCCATAGAGATGTCAAGACAAGCAAAGGCTAAACTGAATCTATAAGAAATATCTGAAAACAGAACCAGAGCAACCCCATGAGCAGGTGAAAGTAAATTTCTTTAATGTAGTTCTGTTATTTACAAAAATCCTGCCAGACTAACTGCATTCTCTATGGAAAAGGGGAATAAAAGGTTCAGGAGTCTGGCATCTGTTGCTTCCTCCAACAGAGAAACTTTAAGCTAGCCAGCCTTTTTATGCCACCCTCTACTCTAGCTAGAGATCTCAGCAAAATAGTTTAGCGATAGAAAAACAAAAAGTAACAAAAATCACCCACCTTCTGTATTAACACAATTTATCTACTCATATAAGTACATTTTATCTGATTGGTGTGGCTCTCCAGAATGACATGCAATTTTGGCTGCAAAGTGTTACTGTTATTTTGCATGAATGAGGGGCTAAGTTATAGAACCTATATTTTGTATTCAAAATGCATCAGGTTTAACATCCAGGACCCTAATAAAAGATAGACAATAGGCAATGTAAACTTCTATGTAGGCTTCTTAGGATTATAAAGACAAGTTTTTTAAAAAAAGGAAAGGTTTGTTTCTTCTGACAAGTCTATAATAGCATTCTTGCTACACCGGAAGGAAGAGATGAGAGTATCATTATGTTTTGTTCTGATTTTTTTTAATATGCCAAAATGATTTAATTCTGGATGCAAGCTTCTCAGGGTACAAGGAATTGAATGCAATTATATACAGCTCATGTAAGAGACAAAATGAAAATATCCTGTTGGTTAAGTTCAAAGGAGGAGAAAAATCAATTGAAGGCAATTATTTTAATGCTTGCCTGTGTGTCTCATGGAAGAATGAGTTATTAGAAAATCCCCAAACCTTAATCATAAAATCTTGACATTCCTCAAAAAATATCTGCTCAAGGAAAAAACATTTTTACCCAAAGTGACTACTGAAAGATGGGTACTTTTGAAATATAATTTCACTGGGAAATGTCCTAAACGTGTGTAGTCCTGCTTGCAGCTATTTATAAAGTGAAACCATAGATGCGGAGTGGTGGGTTAGGCAGTTCAAATGGCTGCATGCCTGCTGTAAATTAGAATTCCCCCAAGATCATCCAGAGGAAGATTTGCTGATCCAAGCTACTAAAAATAAAACCTATCCTGTTCAGCAAACACAGTACAGAAAAAGGACATTCCAAAAACATCCATTGAAATGCAGTGCAATCAATATGATACACTAGATTCCAGTTGAGGCAAGGCACACCCCATTGTGACCTAAACTAAATAGTCCTGATATTCATAGCAAGAGTTCTCTTTCCTCCAATCACTGCAGGAAATACTCTTACAGTAGCAAAAGGCATAGTAGGCCAGCTTTAAGAAGCAGAAATTAGCGTAATGATGAAGACCAACAGAGTAAAGATATGAGAAAATGCTAAAACACATTTCACCTTCTTTGCTTTAAAGGCCTAAGCAAGAGCTAAAGTAGATGTTGATCACAAAGTAAGATGAAACAGTTTTAAGAGTGTTTTTCCACATTTGGCTCACCTATCTTCAGTGGCTGACCAAACAGTTATTTCCCTTAATTTAACTTCTATCATTTCCTGCAGTATATTTCATGTTGTTTTCAGGTTGGAACAGGAAGGGGAATCACTACAGCAAGGTCAGCTGAGGCCTGAAGACTGTCAGCAGCTCCTATATATTTAAGAAGAAAGCGGAAAATAATTTGCCAGAAATGTTTCCTTTTGAGTGACTAGTAATATTATTTGTGGGGCTTAAACCAGGTAATCCTCCACACGGCAGTGCTACCTGACTTGAGAGAATTCTTTTAATTCATACTTCTGATTACAGAATAACAGTATGTAGGTTCAATTAAATTCCATTGGGCAGTCTGAAATGTGTATGTTTATTAAGCTGAAAGCTAAATTTTGACAAATGGATCTTGGAATATCTCTGACCGACTCAGGTTCGCATTGGAACTCCGAGGAGTGTGTTTTGAGATAATTTTGGATGTGCTTTCAAAAGTAACTCTGCCATATATATTTGAATGACTAGATAATGCTATGTTTAACTAGAATTATGAGATTCCTTTGAGCCTTTGCTCTTTTGAATTCAACTACCTGTGGGAGTAGATCCTCAATGATCAGGTGGCCAGCAGCTGTTGTATAAACAATGGACAGGTGCAGGATATCCTGCATTCCCCTAAGTAGTCGGCCTCCTTCCCCTTCAGCTAGGGGGGAGGGTCAGAATTCTTAGGCTGCCACATTTATCATTTTCTCTAATTAATGTCTCCAGTCAGAGAAAGTATTTACCTCTTTTAGTCCTGACTGTAGCAACAGAAATCTGACACTACCAAAAGGTTATATTCAGTAAATATATCTGCATTATCTTTTCAATCACTATTTAAATAAAGATAAATACGTCCTCTTATCTATTGCTTTTTACATATTAAAGCCATGTTTTAAAAATGTATGCATGGTGACTAATTTATTTTAGATATGACGCCAAATAGTGAGTTCCCTACATAAATGACCAACTATTTTACTGCAGTGTCCAAACCATAATTTGTAGAAAGGTGGAATGATATCTGATATTGGGAGATGTCTTTAGGCCTGCTATTTAAAGTATATGCATATCAAAGCCATAATTCTATGTGCACTTGCAGGGGTAAGTCCCAATAAATTGTTTCTTTGAGAAGATGTCAAGTAGGCTGTTTATTGTAGGTTATTTGCTTGTATGAGATTTCACATAGATTTATCTGCTCACTATCTCCCAAGTAATTGAAATCTTACCTTCAGCTTTGTTTTAATTTATATTGGAATAAGCACAATGCTGAATGACAAGGGCAGTATCTTGTTTACTTGATGCCTTTCTATTAATTCTTACAAGATTGGTGTTGTTGCATGAAACTAAAACGTTGCAATATAGAGAAAACAAAAGAGAAAATACTCCCAACCTTTTTGTAGGTGCTATAACCTAAAAATTATATACACTATATATATATATCTCCTCCCACCTTCCGGAAAAGCCTTATGAATGAGATCTAGGATCAATGCAAGATTGGTGGGTAATCCCCGCCCCCTTTTACAAATAACTCACGTGACACAAGAGATGTTGAAGCTCAAAATTCCTATTAATTTGCATAGCAATAAGCAGATAGTACTGAGGTACTGTAAATAACCCTCATTCTCCAGTAATGAGTAGGGATTTAGATTTAAATTATCTCAATACAAATATTTGATTAAGTACATCCAGGGAACTTTTAAGGCAGGCTAACACTAGCAGTGAACTCGATGACGTGGGACAAGTAGGGAAGTTTCTGCAATACAGCCAAGGCCATAGCTTATGCTGTCACTCTGCAGAGCCACATGTTCACACAAGATAACACCAAAGATAGCCCTCCACCTACAACTATTTGTTTAGCCACTGTTCAAAGTTAAAATGGCAGTTGAAAAAGGTAACGTGTGATTAGTCTTCAATTTACAGTCATTGCAGCATCCCTGCTGGTCACATGATCAAAATGCGGGCACTTGTCATCTGGCACGTATTCAGAACAGTTACAGTGCCCAGGGGTCACGTGATCACCATTTGCCACCTTCCAACAAGCAAAGTTAAGGGGAGGTGGAAACTGGGTTCGGTAATGACCACCTGATTTACTTAACAACCATGGCAACCACCTTGCTTAGCAACAGAAATTCTGATCCCAATTCTGGTTGTAAATTGAGGACTAACTACAGCAGTGGCTCCAAAAGATGCAACTGGTGATATGTTAAAATATTCTGTTTACAGAGGTGAAATAAAAAGAAACCCTATAATTATAGGTAATTGTAAGAAAGCAGTTAATTAATATCACAATGGCATAAGTGAATGATGAAAGCCTTAAATAGCGGAAAGGTGCTACTATCATGCTGAGATAAAGTTGGCTGCTCCAGACATGAGTAATATTCTCCAAAATAAGCTTTGTGTTTGACCTCTATGTGCGGCATTAACTATTTTTAAGACTTATATAGACTAACCAGTAAAGTATCATCAAGAAACAGAATAGTGATTATAAAACAGCCATGTGAAGAAGTTTTAATAACAGTTTGGATAAACATATAATCACTGGCATTCCAATATTATATCTATACAAGGCTGTCCTGGAGGACAATGATATATCTGATGAGTGTATTTGTAGCTCAGGGTTGAAATGGGGGGTGGGAGATGGGTGTTCCTTGGTGCTCTCTGAGCTTGGTTGTTTTCTTGCAGATATTGCTTAACCGAACTAGATAACATCATCAGTCTGTTTCTATTTATATGTAGGTACAGAAGCAGCCTAATATCTCCAATTCATTAGAGGGGGGTTTAACTAACATGAAGTTAAATCTAAAAAGTCCTTTTAAGCACTACAGGTCCTAAATGTGTTTACCAGAGATTTTTGATTTCCTCACCCCCGTGGTAGTTCCTTGCCAAATTTCAAAGGTCTCTGAAACAGCATAGAGTTTTGATGGGAGTTCTTCAGGCATGGTACAATGCTAGAATAGAAGGAATTGACTGCTAGATTCTTGCTGAAGCTTAATAAAAGTCTTGGAAAAGATCCTTATTTGATTTCAGTTTAAAGTACCGAGCAAATTGCCTTGAAAACACCCAGTAAGCACATCCCTGACATTCTTTCTTTCACACCTTCAGTTCCCCATATGTTGCCGGACAAACATTATATCCTTGATAAAACAGTGAACAAAGCTATTGGATTGACTTGTAATGCCAACCTCTCCAAGCTTCAATTCTAAATAATTATTGCCAGTATATGGCTCTTTGGAGTAGGTGACATATGTCCTCAAGCTGATTTTTGAAAGTAAAACTCAGAACAAACTAATGACATAAGCAAGTCAAGATATGGAATGAACAATACATTTCATTATTAATGTACAGATTCATAGTTTGGTTAGTGGGAATGCCAAATACTCCATAATTGGCTATTTCTTTTCAGAGAAACTTCTGATAAAGCACACAACATACTACAAAATTAGAATTTTGAATTCTTAGACAAATTCACAAATATCATGACTTAATATTTCCAATTGCATTGGTTAACTATAATAATTCTCCTGAGAGTAATGCTGAATTATATAATATAGAATTAAAAAAGTATGAACTGTCTATTTCCAATGTAACCTTTGAAATTCCCTTTTAAGTTGTAAATTAAGACCAAGCCATCAGACATGTTCTGCTGAGCAGGAAATATCAAAGCCTTATAGCTTCTTTTACACACTATGAGTTTACCTCCTATATTTTAAAGAGGAAAAAAAAAACACGTGGTATGTTTGCTCTATTTGCAACAAAAATGAATGACGAGAAATCATGTAATGGGGCAAGATTAATTTATAGTTTAAAATAAATGGAAAGCACAACCAAAGCTAAGAAATAATGTTTAGAAGAGGGTGTAAAGAGATGAGTTCAACTACATGGAAGCAACGTCTACACTGTCCCAGACAGTTAGCTCTGAATGCCATTTCTGGATGATTCGGTGAAATGATTTGTTCCCAAAGAAAGCCTCAAAGTACACTAGCAGCAACCTCTACTGGATAGTGAGGGAAATCTTTCCCAGTGCTATTCTAGAGGATGCCAATTGATTTAAGGCTCATTGCTCAGGCTGAAATTCCCGGCAATTGTTTGCAGGACCTTCTTTCACAATCCACCTCACGGATAAGAGAGAGAGAAGTAAACAAGAATCCTACCTTTAGCAATGGCACTTTCATAATTTATTTTACTTCAGACACTGGTTTCATAAATAAGTATAAAATGGTTTATGCTAAGCAATTAGAAACGTTTCCCACCTAACATGCTTGCTCTAAGGCTATTGACAACAACTGATACCTGTCAGTTGTGGTCAAATTATTTTAATCTAAGCTTCTTACTAAGTATCTTAACTGGAAGTTATTAAGAAGAGTCTACGTCTATTGAACTATAAAATAATTAAATATAACGAGCTAAGATTGTCTAAGGCTACACTTTCCTTATTTTTTTATTTGCTTTAAAAGCAAAGTTCTTATTTATATTTCTATAATAATATCAGAAAATAAAAAGTGCAATTTAAGATTGGGTACTGAATGGGCTTATTTGGTCACTCTTATCAGTATTATTCTGGTAGCTACATCAATCATCTGTTCTTTCTAGTCTTTGAAGAAGCAACAATGAAAACATTAAGGCTTATAGTAACAGCAAGGAGAAGTGCAGAATGGCACTAACATCAAGCCAAAACTTTCTTTTCCATATTTTCTAGCCCACTCCCTCCAAAATCCATAAAAAGTGCTAGTGTCACTTCCCCAATTACAAAAGCATGGCAATGTTTTTTCTACAAAACTATGAAATATCAAGGCTTATAATCTGTACATTGGCTCCTCCTCTTCAAAGATTAAAGCAGAATGAAAGGCAATTCCCTTTGACTGTAAGAGATTTGTACACTGCACATGTGGGAACAGTCTTGACAGCAAGATCTCCACAGAATGTATGTAAGAATGCCAGAAATGGTCCATGTTGGGGGTCTTTGAATATCAGGGAGATCAGAATCCAGTATCAGGAACCGATACTCAAAATAAACCCTTAATGTTTAAGGCCAAATATTTTTAAAAAGCTAGCTTGTTGGGTCTCAGTATCAACAACAGCTGCGTTTTGTCACAGAAGGTTGTCTTCTAAGTTTGAAACCCTTACCAATAGATGGAGGGTTGGCATCAGTGGATGGAATTCTACGACCTGCAGAGGTAGGGGGAAAAACAGCATTAAAGGGTATTAAAAGAACAATTGAGGAAGACTGTAAGTAAAATGGGATACTAATAGGATAAATAAATAGAGACTCCTTCCTAAAGCCTAGCTTCATTACAAGACATTCATAATTTTGATAATACATAAAAACAGAAAAGAATTTTCTCAATACACCCATTAAAAGAAAGACAGGTCATACAGATAAAAATTTAACCATCAATGCTACAGCTATTGTTCAGCAGCCTAGAAGTCAGGTTAACCTTTCTTCAAATAATGGGATTACAGGTCAAGGAAAAAAAACAATACTTTAAAAAAAGACTAGAAGCCTTAACATGGATTTTTTGATGAACGAAGGAAATACTGATGATTTATGGATATGGGGGAAGGGTTAAAGAAGAAAAGAGTAAGATGGCAATGTCTCAATAGAAAGGGCAGAACTCAAAATTCTATGTTTTCTCTTTTTACTTCACTTTGTTCTTATTTTTCTTTTCATTTTACCATTGCCATTGTATTATGAATTATAATAAAAATATTAACCCCTCCCTCTCCCCCAAGTACTAGGATTATGTTCCTTGAATTAGACCAAAAGTACTGGTAAACTACCAAATAATTTATTCAAATTGCTTGGAATTCATTTTATTAGCTGAATGCTTAATGATTAACTTGGAAGCTCACCTATAAATTTAGCATTTCAAGTTTATTTACCGTATTTTTGGGACTATTAGATGTTCCAGATTATAAGAAGCACCTAGCTTTTGGGGAGGAAAACAAGAAAAAAAATCTGTCTCTGCCTCCCAGCAATTTGCCTCCTTGCAGCAAACAGCAAACAGCTTGGACAGCTTCAGCACAGCCTGATATAGCACGAGCAGCTGATTGGCGGTTGGATCGGCCTCCCGGAATACCGAAAACCAGCTGTTTCAGGCTGCGGGATTGCCACTGCTTATTGCCACCTCCATGCACCCCATTTTCAGCCTCCACGTACCCCATTTTCAGCCTTTTCCAGAGGGCGGGGATTGCAACTGCCTATGGCCGCCAAACGGGATGCGTGGAAAACAGGATGCGCGGAGACTGAAAATGGGTTGCACTGAGGCTGCGATAGGCAGTGGTGATCCCCACAGCTTGGAACAGCTGATCGTCAGTATTCTGGGAGGCCAATCCAACCACCAATCAGCTCCTCGTGCTAAATCAGGTTGTGCTGAAGCTGACCAGGCTGTTTGCTGTTTACTGCAAAGAGGCAAATTGCTGGGAGGCAGAGGCTGAAGAGTGGGAGCTGGTGGGTGGGCTGGGCTTCAGCAACATTTGCTCTATAATGCTCCCAGGAGAGAAGTGTATTATTTTTCTTAGAACACCATAGAAACCTGGGAACAAGAACATGGGTTTTAAATGTGGCTACTTAATACTTTTGAGAAGTGCTTTTCTCACATCAACACAATGAAGTACTGATTTCAAAAAGTTTGCACAGCTCTAATGCTTACTGTATATTCCATATCCTCTCCTTCTAGTGATATGAAATAAACCCACTACTTATTAGGTAGCAAAGTTAAGACATTTAACAGGATGAAAAATGTTAATGCCAGTACTTTTCTCATTCTTCTGCCAAGATATGATTTGAAAGATCAAATTAACTTGTGGCCTAATGATGAAATGAAAATGATGCTAATTATGAAGAAAGTGTACAACTAGTAGAAGTAGAGCATGAAGCTAATATAAGATTCCTTTTTGTTAGTAACTAGGAACTCAAGAAGAAAAATATTAGCGATTTACTGACGCTGAATACTTACTTATTTCTATAAACAGTTCATTTATGTTTATTGCATTTTTTGCACTAGTCTCTACAAATATTGCATGGATGGAATCCGCATAGTCTTTAGCATCTTTTTCGATAACTTCTCTGCAGGATGGGAAGAGAATACATACTATAAATAAACAATAATAACTTACCTTCATTTTAGCAAAGAAAATTAATTTCAAATCAATGTAGCATTATCAGTTATTTCTATAATTAAGCCAAACTCTGTAACACACTTTATCTGAGAGACGTGGAAATAGAATCAGTTTTTGATTAACACAATTTGGAGTAGTAGTACATCTCTCTAGACTGCCAAAACATTCGTGCTTCAATATAATAGGTAGCTTCCCAGAGTCATCAACTGAGATAGGCAGCTATAGAAATTGCTTGATTGAATGAATGAAATATAGCAACAAATGGGGTATGGCTAATTCTGCACATCATAAAACATAAACATTTGGTTCCATAATGATTTACTGATAGTTAAAAGGCAGTAATTGTTTGTAATATATGTCCAGGAAAGCATGGATGGCAATTAGATGTTTAAATGAAGCTTAATTTCAGCATTTCTACATCTATTTCCCAGCATCTGCCTTCCACTCAACCAATTATTTAGGAATTATGCTCTGTTCTCTCCTTGCACAAATAGGATTTAATCAAATCCAAGGCTCTTTCATAGTTCATGCTGCATCCCTTCCATCATCTGTTATTTAATAAATAGCCCAACTTTCTTTCAGTGGTTTGATTAACATACAGTGTTTCCCCGAAAATACGACAAGGTCTTATTTTCTTTTGCCCCACGAAATATGGCCTTGGGCTTATTATCAGGGAGGGCTTATTGTTTTGGGGTTGCCGGGTGGCTGCTCCCTTGCGAGCCGACTCCCAAAGAGCCGGGCACAGCCTCAGGGACGAAGCAGCCATGAGGTAACCATGTTCATGAGCAGCCGCCCGGCAAATCCCCTCTCCAGCCAGGCAGAGCACCATTCACTGACCTAGGGGGTATCCTGAATCTGCCAAGCTGCGGGAGCTGGGGGGGGCGGGCAGAGAACCATGTGGATTGGCGCCTTAATGAGACCCCCTAGGTCAGTGAATGGCGCTCTGCCTGGCTGGAGAGGGGATTTGCCGGGCGGCTGTTCATGAGCGTGGTCACCTCATGGCTGCTTCGCCCCTGAGGCTGTGCCCGACTCTTCGGGAGTCCGCTTGCAAGGGAGCAGCCACCCGGCAATCCCAAAACAATAAGCCCTCCCTGATAATAAGCCCAAGGCCATATTTCGTGGGACAAAAGAAAATAAGACCCTGTCGTATTTTCAGGGAAACATGGTATAATGAATATTCAGACCTCACCAGACATGACACAGAAAATAATAATATGCTTCCTATAAAACAGTAGTTTTAAAAGGAAAAATGTAC